GAGAGGAGAGAAAGAGAGAGGGAGGGAGAGGGAGAGGGAGAGAAAGAGAGAGGGAGGGAGAGGGAGAGGGAGAGGGAGAGAAAGAAAGAGGGAGGGAGAGGGAAAGGGAGAGAAAAAGAGAGGGGGGGAGGGACAGAGAGGGAGGGGAAGGGGGAGAGGGAGAGAGAAGGTACAGTTCGCCGCCCTTTCTTAAGCCCTTATTGACACTTCCCATACAGTTCCGGTGATCATCCTTCCTCTTGTTGCTCCGACCATCAGTTCACTTCCTCATTCCATAGAAATCCACCAGGGAAATCCCCAGCACTGTTACAGCTTCCCCCCTACCTTTGAATGCTCTTCCATTTCTAAAAGTCAAATCTTGATGTATCGAACGCGGATCTTCATCAGTAAAGCACCCAATCAATCATGCACAGCTTGAGGAATGATCCTCCATACCACGCTCCCTCTCCTTCTGCCTGTCCACCTTTGCCTCACATTCACAATGACCTACGCATCACAATCCACTTCATTTCCTGCCCGCCCACCATTCTCACGCCCTTTTAGACCGTCCTTTTGTTCATTCCCACTCGGCAACACTTATGATCGCTTTTGTTCGTTCCCACTTGCCCACCAGTCTTGAGTTATATCCACAGGTGACCGGCCCCGGGTAATTCGAGATTGTTATGGAAGTTATTATTGTAGATTATATGCCATGATCATGACTTATTGAGCTTCCTTATTGAGCTCATGTTGTGACACTGTCAGGTGTGTTGAGAGTTTTTTTTTGGTAAGCCTCTGGAAATATCGTGAGATTGAGGGTCTCAAGACTCTCAACCCTGATAAGCAGCGTAATTATGAATGTGAGATATGATGATGATTCTGACTGAGAACTCAACCTGAGAGCTCTTTTATTGGATGTGTATTGGGTGTGTCCTCAATTGCCTTTTCTTCCTCATTTTCCTGAATGATAAAGGGCCTCCTCCCACCACTCACCAAACACGAAGTCTGGTGAGTGGGGCTGTCGCTCGACCACCTCACCACCACCGTCCCATCCGATGGCTGTCTTTCTCTGTGGTCAGCGCTCACCACAGCCACCATTTCCCCTACCTGCAGAGGTAGATTTGTGGTGCCTCCTCTCCGGGTCTCACCCTTGCCTGCAGACCGCCCCGACACAGCTGAAGGAGCACAGTGTGGTGAATTTGGTGAGTTGGTGGAGTGATGACAGTGCTTTGGTGAGAATTTGCCATGATGAACACTCGCTACGCCAAATTCAGTTTGAAGCAAGTGGCAGAGCGAGGCTTGCTGGCGCTGGGATGATCTCAGGCAAGGGCGGTCTTCAAGACCAACCCAGCCTTGGATTGTCTACCAACCTCCTACCAAAGGTGCGCAGGGCCCTGCCTCGTCAGCGGTTGGGGAGGGTGCGGCCATTGGCAGTGGACTTCATTTAAACCACCACTCCAACTTTTGACACTGGATTCATGCTGCGGCCGCACAAAAGCCCCGTCTGTCGTTAAGGGAAAAAAGACAAAAACAGGTGAAATAGATTCGCACAGGTACCCTGTGCAGATGGAGTCCCTATCGCCTGGGCCAGGTGGGACAGCCATGCAGGCCTGGCTGTGAGGATCTGGTAGCCTAGCTAGCCTCACCAAAATGAATGCGCATGAAAAACTGCCAAAGTAAGGACATCCAAAGTGCTGCACCCACCAATGCGCCTAGCTCAGTCGGTACACCCATGAACTTTTGAAATACAGACGCAAGTTTGAATCCCCATGGAACTAGAAAAAAAGTATTTCTGAACGACCTGCCGGTAACCCCAAAGATGATATCTCAAGACCATTGCCCCCTTTTTTTTGTGTTGAGTTGCCCCCTGCCACCCAGCCCTTTCGCCAGGCAGCACCTGGAGCCTCCCTGTCGCAAGCATGTGTGGCAGTGCAGGTCTCGCCCTATGCAAGGAACAGTGGTGGTTGAAACAGAACTAGTGAAGCCAGCCCATTCCAGAATGACAAAATTTTGAGGGGGGTCGGGTTCATGCCTCGCTCTCACCTTCTCTGAATATTCAAGGAACTTGTCAGATACAGGGCAAATGATGACCTGCCGTGGACTAAGCCAGAGAGGCCATTTGCCAGCGAAGTGCTCCAGAAGAATCGCAAACATTCGCTCAACCGACCCCAGGATGGCTCGATGGATGATTACCTGTGTTATTAATTCGCAGCACAAGCGGTTGTTCAAAGCCAAGCATGAGAACAGGGACAGGTACAACACCAAGCAAATCACCATGATGATTGGGCATTACACCAAGCAGCATCTCCGACGCCTCGAGAACCAGTACTGGGGCACCAGACACGAGCCCAAGCAAATCGACATGATAATAATGTAACAAGAAAGAATCAAAGCGACCTCACGCGCACAAATCTAACTCAAACTCAAGCTTACGATTTCCAAAGGTGCCGCAACGACGACAGCACAGACAAGTTAACAACAGCATAATGGAGATAATTCGCCGACCCGATGAGAAATGAGAGCTTGATGACAACTGTGACAAAAAAGTTTGTTGCGTTCCAGAAACACCCCATCCATGTCACATGCTGAAGGATATTTAATATTTATGGTGCCAATATGCTACAACATTCCAGTCGAGAATACGAACAAGGCTAAGGCCCTAATTTAGTAATTTCTCATAAAGCCACTGTACATGGAAAGAGGAAGCAATTGAAGTTTCGAAACATGTGTTATAACTTATAAGCTATAACGAAAAGAGCAAGTACCCAAGAAAAAATGGATGCTGCAGTGCGCAAACAAGAACGCAAGTGTCCTGTGGCTGGCAATGATTGCCTCATGATTCCTCCTCGTAAAACAAAAGGACCATGTTGTACACGCCTCGCAAATCGTAAGAGGGAGGGGAGAGGGGGGGGAGGGGAGCGGGAGGGAAAGAGAGGCAGGAAGATATCGAGCTTACCGGGCGTTCCCTCTTTCCCGTCTCATCCTCTGTGCTGTATTGAAGGTTGAACCGGATCGGCAGCTGGAAGTCGAGCTGGAGATGGAGATAACAAACCAACACAAAAAGGGATATGCACATGTTATGCTCCCCAGATACACGCAGTTGCTCCTTGTTGTGGGTCATGATACTCGGGACTCTTTTTTTCTTTCATTTTAACGATTCTGACAGCTTCAAACTCCTGATCTGTTTAGCAACAGCTACATTCGTGTACCATTCAGAAGACGATACTTAGTAGAAGAGTGCGGATATTCTACTCAGGATTTCTTGCCCTTCACCATTACAGGATCCCCCCCCCCTATTTTTCCACCTTTTCTTCATTGTCACCTGCAATCATATCAAAGAAATCCACGCATAGGGCCCACAGCTCCACGCCACCGGACCTGTTTCCCGAAACCCTAATAAGACTGAGAACAGATAAGCCTGCCTGTGTCCCTGCACTGAAAAGTCTCACAGCTAAAGGTCATCGGACCCATGCCCCGAAACCCTGAGGCTGAAAACAGATAAGTCTGCCTGTTTCCCTGCAGTGACATGGCTTGTTGTGATTCGGGCCACAACTCCCACGCTCACGGCTCTGTCATTGAAAAGTGGCAACGGAAGTCAACAACTAGTACAGGCGAGGAGCAGAAACAAGTTCTAGAATGTGGAACAAAGATAGCGATTTGCAAGTACCTGTATCGTTGCACACTGATTTTTCCTTTTCAGCGCATCAAAAACTGTGATGTCGATCTTAGGTCCATAGAACGCGCCATCTCCTTCATTTATCTGTAGCAAAGACCAGATTGTTATCGCCAGGCAAGGAACATTACATACAAGAGAGTGAAAGCATGTCATTAAGAGAATGGAACCGAGACGCATCCGCTCACTGCACTATTTCAATTGCACTGTCTGAGTACAACTGCAAGACGTTGAAACGAGTCTTTGAATATAGCCACAAGTGTGATGACAGTTGCTTGCAAGTAGGTTTGAACCACCACAGGAGGTCATAGCCCCGGGAAAGAAAGCAATCATAGGACGAACACAGTGCAGGCTGCAGTGTGAATCACATTCTATCTGTCAAGTCGGCGATGGATATTCCAAGTGGCGCACTTTTCCCACTTGGTGCAGACAGGGTGAGCTTGAGGTCAAAGGCCGCTACGGAAATGATGGGAGGTTGGGGGGGGCCGGGGGGTGGGGCGTGGGGGAAGAAGAGGGGAGGAGGGGCACATGCAGGATTCACAATTGCGTAGAATGGACACCAACAACTCAACGAACATCATTATAAACTGCCTTGCAAAATACCTCTGATAGCAGGAGAGAAGTGATAACAGCCACAATGTCGTAGAACACAGAGAGAAAACAACAATCTAGCACTAACAACTACATGGCCAAGATCCTCACACATCATACCATAACAATTTGACAACAATACAGTCAATCCACAGTGCTGAATTGAATCCTGCGGAAAAACCTACGATATCTGCTCACTACTTCCTCTGGGTATGGTTTACACAGATTGATCAGCAACAACAACAGCGACAATGGCAGCGATGACAACGACAACGACGGCAACAACAACAACAACAACAACAACAACAACAACAACAACAACAACAACAACAACAACAACAACAATAACAATAACAGCAGCAGCATCAACAATGTCGACAATAACGACGCCGACAACCACCACAACGACAGCAACAAGAGCAAGGACGAAGCAAGAAGAGGCAAGAAGACGACGAAGAAGACCAAGCAAGTATGAGGAGGAGGAGGAGGAGAGGAGGAGAAGAAGAAGAAGAAGAAGAAAGAAGAAGAAGAAGAAGAAGAAGAAGAAGAAGAAGAAGAAGAAGAAGAAGAAGAAGAAGAAGAAGAAGAAGAAGAGAAGAAGAAGAAGAAGAAGAAGAAGAAGAGAAGAAGAAGAAGAAGAAGGAAACTATGTAGCGAGCTTCATTTTCAGAAATAAGTTTGCCTGTCAATACATCCTGCAATCATGATGCCAATATATTCCTGTTTTTTCATCTTATACATGCAGGTACCCATACCTGCCCACATGTCAATGATGCCATACCTTCCAAGGTCGTCCGAAGGAATTCAATGCATCAGTCAACGCCTTCTCTGCCTTGTTCCAAACTTCAATCTCTCCAAGGAACTTTTCTGGCCTCTGCGCACCATCATCAAACATGATGTTAGAGTCAAGAATGCCAGGCAAACCACTTTTCCTACCAATCCTACCGTCTTCCCCCGAACACAACGCACCCTCATTTTGACTGCATCTGGACAGAAACATGCCGTGCATACGTTCATTCTCAGGGTGTGTTATGTTCGGGGGAAGACGGTAGTCTCATAACATGCTTCACCCAGACGTTTCCTAAGCATAGACCTTTCTTGGCCACTCAGACAAAACTGACAGTTCACAAAAAGATGAATGAATTATGAGCGGTGATATTACCTAAGTTTGATCTCTGCAATAAGATTGTCTGATATCACAAAGAGCTGATTTGTTTATCAACACACATACTCATGGCATGTGTTTGAAAAAGCACGATCCCTCGGCCTGCCTTTAAACCTGTTTCTCTCACGCACACCACTGGCATGATATCACTGAATACGCCGTCTCTCTCTCTCTCTCTCTCTCTCTCTCTCTCTCTCTCTCTCTCTCTCTCTCTCTCTCTCTCTCTCTCTCTCT